ATTAGACAATGGGTACAGGGTGGTGCTTGGTCCTGCCTCAACTGAATGTACCAGGCTTTGCTGATTTCCCATGGGAAGCCTTACCCTTTTGGAGGAGGGGGTGGGAGGGGTTCTGGGGGAAAGCTTGGAGGAGGCAGAGGAGGGATGAGAGGGGCATCTGTAGTTGGTATGTAAAATGAACAAAATAGACACAACTTCCAGCTTTTTAAAGTGTCTCCTCATTACAATAATATTTAAAATAGCATATACTTTGCATTCTCTCATGTTATAATGACACTTAAAAATAATATGGCCTATGAACAGATGCTCAGAATTCAAATCCATGAACTGCATTAACATCCCAAATCTACAATCATTGGCCACTATTTTTAAAAATGTCACCCCTTAGTCCATACATCTGTACTTGCAAGTGTTCATTGCAATGGTTGGTCTGGCTAGAGGTCTCTGGTTTCTGCTATACTATTGATGCCTGGCCCTCACTGAGACTCCTCTTGGATATGCTGATGTTGCTTCATGTCATGGAGATCCTACAGCTTTGAATCTGCAGGACCAGCCCCTTCAAGCACTCCAGCAGTTCGTAGATGGGGTGGATGTTGGGGTGGGCCATCTCATAACCCTGGTTCTGGACCTGGGTAGTGGCTGGGTTAATCAGTCCACCAGCTCTCCCTCATCCACACCACCAGGGCAAGCTCTCCAGCACTGCCTAGGCTAACTCATTCTTTGCGGCAGGCAATAAGGAGCAGGGCCGGTGTTCTTGTTCTCACGCCCTGGTGTCCTGCTCCCCTGCACTCCCACCACCAGGGCCAGCTCTATTGTGTTGCCCAGGTCGGGTGCAGGACCCACTCTTCAGAGTACCGGTAAGGGGCCTCTGACCCTTACGCCCCCACTCCAGGACAGCTCTCTGACCCTTACGCCCCCACTCCAGGCCAGCTCTCTGCCTGTGACAGGTAGTGGTGATATCAGAGAGAAGGAGAGGGCTCAGACAGTAAGAGTAGTTGCTGTCGACTTCTGTGCCTGGATCCTATAGTGGAAGGAGAAAACTGACTCCTGAAGAGCTGTGCTCTGACTTCCACACACCAGCTGTGATACAGTTACACCTACACCTACACACACACACACACACACACACCACACACACCACACACATACCACATAGACACCACACATACACAACACAGACACACAGACAATACACACAACACACACACTACACACACACCACATAAACACCACACATACACACACCACATAGGCACCACACATATAGACATACAACATACATGCTACATATACACCACACAAATATGACACATACACACCATACATACACACACACCACATCACACACACAGACACCACACACACACCACATACACACACACCACACACACTACGTACACACCACACAAATATCACACACACCACACACACACTACGTACACACCACACAAATACCATACACCACACACACACACACAACACATAGACACCAACATAAACACACCACACAGACACCACACATACACACCACACACACACACACTACATACACACCACACAAATACCACACACACACCACACCACACACATACACATACACACAAACCACATAGATACCACACATACACACACACACACACACACACACACACACATCTCCCCACCACCATCATCTAATAAATATTTTTTTGTGATAGATAAGACTATTTTTTATTTTGCATACCAGCCACAGATCAGCCTCTCCCCGCAAATCCACCTCCCATTGGCCCCTCCTACAAGGTAAGACCTCCCATGGGGTGTCAACTTGTAAACTTCAAAGAAAAGCCAGAATCTGACGATTTCACTGCTGAATTCTACCAAGCACTGTAAGAATTCATTCCAATCCTGTTCAGACTCTTCCTAGAGCAGAGGTGGAAAGACTCACAAAATCATTCTTCAAGGTCCACATTACTTTAAACCCACACACAGGTCCATACCTGAAACACCTCCTCACAACATTGTCTCTTCCTGCCTTTTTCAAGTAGTCCTCTAGTCTCACATACACACCTCACTACCATTCCACATGATTCTGACTTCACCACACTTATGTTCTGACTCTGCATTTTTCCTGTCTCATCTTATCCACATGAATGACTTTAATTGCTATCTATATCCTATAATGTCCATATGTTCTCATCTGCCTCCTAGACATGCCTTGTCTTCATCTGTCTCCCAAGATAATCAACAAGAACCTTCAAGGTAATGGTAGTGTCTTGTCATTGAGACCCCAGGACATAAAACCATAGCTTCCACACATTTTCATTAAAAGGGTGTTTCAGTAGATGAAACAGTAATATAACATATATCTAATCTCTTTGGGTGGTCATTAAAATGAATTTTTTAATTTTTCAAGATGATTTAACAATAAGAATTTGACAAAAGAATTTAAGCATTCTCCTACTTTGAGTATCTCACAGTATAGTTCCTTGGCTATAGTCTGTCACTGAAGATTTGCAAGCATAAATCAGAAATCTAAGGACAAAAGTTGGCCATGGTTTATAACTATGACACTGTACTAACATCAATATCTTTGTGTTGAGCTGTGTTACATAAGTGAAAAACTTGGACATTTTTAAGAGCATAACATTTAGTCCTAGGGGAAAACACACATTTTTCCTCTCTACTGAGAGCTGACAGAGCACGATCTGGTACACCAGATTTCTACAGTCATCCACTGCTCTAACAAACAACCATTAGATAAAAGTACAGTGCCAGGCTTGTATTAGACTTGGCAGTTCTTATTCGTAATAAATTCTATGGAATCGAAAGTTTCAGTAAAATGAGCTTCGATGTGTAAAATTCAGTGATTCAAACCAACATAGGTTGTAAGTGTATGCAAGCATTTTAACATATTTTTTTATATAAAACCAATGGCACTTGAATTTTAGCATTTATGTTTATATAGTTTTATAAATTCATAAATAGAGAGTAAATTTATGTTATGTGTGACTTTATGATATGTTCTGGGAAATGACTGGATCTAACAACCTGGCATATCAGTTATTTTACATTATTGTTCTGTTTTGTTTCAAGGACACTTAGAACCTTTCTATAATTTTAGTTAATTGGTTATTAACTTTATTTAGCATGTTATACAATATATTTTTATAATTTATTCCTTCTAATTAATGGAAATTTTATACATTTGACCAACAGTTCCCCTACCATCCTCCCTTTGCCCTACTCCTTGACAACCACCATTCTGTCCTCAGATACTCATGACTGTTTTTTATACTCTCATCAAAAGCAATATCACGCTATTTGTCTTTGTGACTGATCATATTGCTCATAATGCTGTTCCCTGAGCTTGTTTATATTATTAAAAAAACAAGAGTTATTTATTAAAGTCTGAGATGCTCCTTTTGTCTAGGTATACAGCATTTTCTTTATCCAGTCTTGAACTGATGGACTCTTCTGTTTGTATCTATAGATTTGTTCTGCTCCCAAACATGGTCAGAGAAGCTTCTTACTGCAGTTAATGCAGGGACTCATCACTGTGTCTCTGTGTTAAGAAGATGTGATTGTGGGTGCCCAGTCTTAGATGGAACTTATGTATCACCCCCCAACCCTCAAGCTCAGGGAATGTCTCATAAAAAGAGGGTAAAAGCAATCTTAACATCTGGAAGATGAGGAGGAAGGGTATGAATTGTCCCCTGGAAATGACAGGACTATTGCACACATGAGCCCATAGCAGCTATGTTACTTGCAATTGATAGCTGCTGCTGGAGGAGGAACAATCAGTTTTCTCCAGTGGACTGAACTGGTTCTATCAACCAGCCTCCAGGACTGGCCTCATGCTCAGGAGTAGCTGGTCAACACAAAATGGACTCCATGGTTTGGGTTTGTTTTTGTTTTTGTTTGTTTGTTTGTAGTAGTGGTGGTGGTGGTGTTTTTGTTCTTTTGATTCGGTTTTGGTTTCTTTGTTTTTAAATGGGGCATAATTCACAATTTGAGGTGATACAGTCATCTAAGGTGGTAAAGGCAACTCTAGTCAGAGGTGGGAAACTGCATATGTATGGGTGTTTCAGGGAGCAGAGAGAGGTCAGGCTGCAAGCAGAGTCTTCTTGAGAAAAAAATAGCCTTTAATTTTGTTAGCACAAGCTCTGCTGTACTTCTGTCAGGAGAGACTAAGCCCCTAGTACTGTGAGACAGAGCCTTTTTATGACCTTAGATATCTGTGTCTCCTACACATGACAACACATAATTTCATTGGCTTGTTCTAAACTTGTGGGGTGGAGGCCTAAAAATGGCCAGGGGAGGGGGAAGGGAGGAAGACACTACAGGACAGATGTAGTAGACTGTCACCTACACTTAAGGACATTGACCCATTTTCATGGCTGTTTTCTTGTTCTTTTTGGGACTCTGCCACACAAGGCCTACACAGAAAGACCCTGTCTCACAACATCTATCTGTCTGTCTGTCTGTCTGTCTGTTGTCTATATCTATCTGTCTGTCTATCTACCTATTATCTGTCTATCTATTGTGTGTATGTGTATCTGTGTGTGTGTGTGTGTGTGTGTGTGTGTGTGTGTGTGTGTGTGTGTGTGTGTGTGTGTGTGTGTGTGTGTGTGTGTGTGTGTGTGTGTGTGTGTGTGTGTGTGTGTGTGTGAGCTGCTTGAAATCAGGACATATACCTTACTTCTCTACCCACACTTAAATCACTACTTTAGCTCACAGTCAAATTATAGCTTCTTTCCTGGTATCTACTTCATTAGGATTCAAATGAAAATAAAATTTCAGTCCATTGCTGTAACCCATGTTCTTGGGTTTTCCATGTTTTCAAGTGTAGAAGAAAATTCTTATTCATTCAATGAACAAAATCAAATATATTTATTTTTCTGTACTTTTTAGATCACTTATGAAATGATATTAGTTTCACATGAGTAATTCCTTACAATTTAGCTTTAAAAAATAGCCTGAAGTCAACCATACTTTTGTATAGATTAGATACACACTCGGAAATGTATTCCTCCTCAGATGTATTTGGCCATAATCAAATTCAACAAGGGTTGCACAGTAAAGCAATGAGCCAATAAGTGGACACAGTACTCTTCATGTAGAAATGACTGGAATGAAGTTGCTGTTTCCTGACTTGAGTCCAGGTGCATCAACACATCATCACATGACTTCCCTACTCTCCTATCTTCTAGTGAAATCAGAAAACCTTTCTCCCTGATTTTCTCTGAATCTGATTACTGGAAAAGCCATGTGTGTCTAGGGGCAATGTTCTAATATTAGCAAATACTGTTCTCTGAGTTTAAAATTTACATGTAAGTACTGAAGCCCTATTTTGTCTCCCTATAGTGATATGGAAAAGAGAGTAAAACAACAGAAAAGCAAAAAGGCGAAAACATGGGCAATGTCAGCAAAGCAAACACTTACGTTATTTATTCCTAGGCCTTGGGACAGATCCTCACTCAAATTGCTATTCATTATCAGCTTTGTTTGACTTTAAATAAAAGAAGCAACTCTAACGAATTTCCCGGTAATATGTCTACGTAAGTCCTGTGTTGGATAACGACAGTGACACCGAGTCACCAACTATATTCCCAAACACGTAATAAGATTAAGAGTTTTGCTTTTCTTTTACTATAAAAATGAATACTTCTGCCCCCGTGCGTGATATTTTTATTCACACAAACTACTCATGTAGATAAATTTCCAAATGGTCTTATTAAATCAAAACCACGGAGTCAAATACAGGAGGGGAAAGCCTTAGAGAGATCAGATGTAGTGGGTAGCCATTCCAGCTTTGATCTGGAAGTTACAACTCCTACTGAGGCTTCCGTAACTGTCACGCCTACAAGGGGGCCGAGAGAGGACCCTGAAGACCCCAGATCTGTATGTGCCAGCTCTCTTGGTTCCTGGACCCTGGACACTGGAGGTAGAGCAAGCAGAGTTCTCCAGAGAACACCGCCGGACTGCCCTATGCCTTTCCCAGACTCTGTAAACTATCCATTCGCTTGTAAGTTACCCCACAAAATAAACCTCCCTTTTAACTACGTGGAGTGGCCTTAATAATTTCACCAATAATCAGGGAAATTGGGAAAGCCACCAGCCAACCTTACCTCACCAACTCTGCAGTTTCCAAATGCGAGTTACTTCCTGTCTACCCACGTCTATATGCCTTGCTGTTTGGCCATCTGATTTGCTCTATGTCTAGGTATATCACTTCATCTTCCTACACAGCTCTGTCACTTTCTGTCTGTCTGTACAGACCTACAGACCTCTATTGGTACTGGGAATAAAGGTGTGTGTCACCACACTTGGCTCTGTTCCCTAGTGTGGCCTTGAACACACAGAGATTCTGCCTGCTAAGTGGTAGGATTAAGGGCATGTGCTACCGCTGCCTGACTTCTTTGTTTACTTAAAATGGCTTGCTATTCCCTCTGGTCTCCAGGCAAGCTTTATTTATTAAAGCCCAAATAAAATATCACCACATACTGGTACTCTAACTTTTAAATATTTATTCTATATTTCAACTGAAATATTATTATAAGATATCAGTATGTAAGTATACTCTTAGAGAACATATAATCCTGTTACATACAGTTGTTTCTTTGTTTGTTTTCTCTTTACTAAGCATTCATCAAAATCCTGATCCTCTGGTTCTTACAAGGGAAGGAGATAAATAGAACAACATTTTTGATTTTCAAACTTAAATTGTACTCATAAGCCTCAGAATGTACCAAAACTTAAGTTTACGTTTACTGTTACTTTTATATTATAATACAATAAACAGTTACATCAGATATATGTAACCTAACTTATTCTATACAACTCACATTAACTAATTCACTATAGTGTTTTTCCTGCAAAAGACTACTTCCACTCAGACTCAAAAGGTAATGAAAGATTTCAAGCATTTCTAATGGGTCCATATTCAATAATCAAATATTAGTCTTCCTAATGTAATCAATACATCTGTTTTTAGCTCAATTGATTGGTGCACATATTTGCAAGAATATTTTTGGTTATAACTTTCTCAATGAACTGCAAACATCATCATCTCTGTAAAATGTTAAGTGCTAATGCAGTTGAAGCCTTGAAGTGGGTCTATACACACCCAGTGAAATAACATTAGCCTTCCCATGTATTAAGAATTCTTTTCCTCATCCTGTTTATTTATATGCTAATGAATTTATCTTCTCCAAGCCCTTTCCTTATGACTTATAGCATTTTCTTTCCATGATTATATTAGCTATGTCCTGTCTTAGTGTAGGTTTCAGAATCATGTTTTATTCAAGAAGACTAAAATAATTCCTGACACTTCTGAGCAGTAAAAAGGTATCAAACCTATAAAGTAAATCATGTAAATCATATTTTCAAACTAGTTATTGATAGTAGATTTGTGATTGCAAGTGTGAAGAACTGGGATCCCTTTTATCAAGTATGTGGGAAATCTTTACACAGATGCATTCAAAGCAGAGTCCAGGGTTCTGGAGACCAAGAAGTGCCGTGACGAAAAATTTGAAGGAAATTCTGAAATGAAGGAACCATGATGTTTCCTGATGTCCTCTGGAAACATTGTGAATATGGAAATATATATTGCCAAAATCATAGGGGAAATAAAACTACCTGGAAGATATTTAGAGGCTCTAGAGTCTACAAAAATATTCTAAATCTTAGATAATACAAAAAAACACAAATATATTTTAGTTGAACATAATTAGCTATCACATCTGTTTTAGAAAGAAAATATTTAAGCTTTTGGAGAAATAGATTTTATAAGTAGAATAACAGATAAGGGGATCTAAGACTTACTGGTGGTCTTATTAAAAATTCAGTTTTGTCTATTATAAATTACATACAGGCTGGGCGGGGGTGGTGCATGCCTTTAATCCCAGCACTCGGGAGGCAGAGTCAGGGGGATACCAATGAGTTCAAGGCCAGCCTGGGCTACAGAATAAGTTCCAGGAAAGGTGCAAAGCTACACAGAGAAACCCTGTCTCCGGGAAAAAAAATTACATTGTTGCTGGAGGGCTTCTCTCCAGGCCCCATCAAGCCCCGCAGTCCCACAATCCATGTATAAAATAATCACTCAGACCCTTATATTACTTATAAACTGTATGGCCGTGGCAGGCTTTTTGTTAACTGTTCTTATATCTTAAATTAAGCCATTTTTATAAATCTATACCTTGCAACGTGGCTCATGGCTTACCGGCATCTTTACATGGTGTTTGTCCTGGTGGTGGCTGGCAGTGTCTCCCCCACCATTTGTAGCTAGAGTTTTCCTGCCAGCCAACACATTCTTTTCTATACTGAAACAAAAAGCTTTTAAGCATCAAAATCACAACAAAATAAAATATATTCTTTTTCTCCTGCACAATTTCTAATTTCTATTTTTGCATTTTTGTTTCCTTCTGACATTTTTCTTCTGTCTTAATTTTTTAAATATTTCCCTCTCTCTAGAACAAATGCTACCAGCCTGTTCAGAAATTCAAAATGCCCCAAGCCCTCAAGGGTCTTGACCAATATCACATTGCTAGGTATCCATGGGATTATATTGTGAACCATTTCTTCCCTTTCACTCACACTCTGGTAAGTTCTTTATTAGGGGAGCAAGAAGTAAAATATTAAAATGCATGAAGTAATTAGTGTTAAAACACCCCCAAATTGTAATTTAGAAAGAAAGATAGTAGTGAAACGGAGAGAAGAAGAAGGAGGGGAAACCATAATCTAGATATACTATTTGTGGGGGAAAAATCTATTTGCCATAAAAGGAGAAAAAATAAATTAAGTTTTAAACAAACTTACTGTATAGTCTTAATACAACAATAATTATCAGTAATAGAAATTTCACTTAAGTTTACTGTGTATGCTTTCAGTATTTGCTCATATTGCCTTGTTTTCTAAACACTCTTTGCTGTAAGAGAAATTAGAAGAATCATGATGTGAGGAACTATAAGGCAGTGGTAGCCTAGCTTCTTGTTTCATTAGAAAAAAATGAATCCTTCTTGGTCTTCAATCAGAACATAAACTGATTAACACTTTTTTCTTTTCTTTCCCATGGAAAATAGAGAATAGGTCTTGGCTAGAGAGGTAAAGCATTTTATTATAAAAACAGTATCTTGTAACTTTTATTTTTATTGCTTTATTGATGAGATACAATTTAAATGCATGTTTTATCTGTTTTTATACTCAATAAATATGTGTATAACAAGATGTCATATACAGTTGTATATGTTCTTCACCCTCAATTGTAAGTAATAAATATAGAGAATCCACAGAATTTAAATGACAGCATTGTAAGAAATATAAGGTAAGAGCAGGCCACCAATATGAACTTTTAAGAGTTCAAAAAGTAGACTTGTACTAGCAGACACTGCCAAAGATCCTAACATTATTTCCCCTTTTATGAGAACATGTATCTATACTTCAGTTATATATGCCAGGAAATATAGTACACATGTGGAGTGTTATAAGCAAGGTGAGAGGAGGCCAGTGGTTCACCCTGGACTAAGAACTCTAGCTCACCCAGAGCCACAGAAAATGCTGTCATTCAAATGCTCACCATGTGTCAGAGATGATAGAGACATTTTAGTGCCATATGATGAATAACCTAGCTCTATCCCCATAAAATATAATCAAGGAATATTATTTCACTTTAAAGGAATCTGATATCATTTCTCAGCAACCAAGTCAAAATCACATCAATTATAATTAGGAGATTATTTTTATTTTGCTTTCACTGCTTACATTTTTATTTGGAATAATATTATTTATTTTGTAGCAATATAACCAGAGAATGGACCTGAGTGTGCAAACCACTATTTCTTCATTAATGATACACAACTTAAATGCATATATGTTTTATCTATTTGCCACTCAATAAGCAGCTTTTAAAACCTAGGACTATGAAAAATGGTGGTACATTTATTTACATATTATGAGTATATGTGAAGTTCCTCATAAGGCATAATTGCACTCTTCTGTGAACCACAGTGTAAAAGTTATGGATAACTGGAAGGATTTCTTGTTATTAGTCCATCACATTATATCACCACTGTTTTGCAAGATTATAAAAAAAAATGCTCAGTTGAAAAGAGAGAAGAGGGATTCTATGAACAAGGGGCATCAAGATTATGATGGGGAAACCTACAGAGACAACCAAACTAAACTAGTGGGAACTCATGAAATTTAGATCAACAGCTGTGGAGCCTGCATGGAACTTGACTAGGCCCTCTGCATAGTGAGACAATTGTGTAGCATGATATACTTAAAGGGCCCCCCTGGCAGTAGGCAGTAGGCAATAGGATCAGGATCCATCCCTGGTGCATAAGCAGGCCTTTTGGAGCCCACTTCTATGATGGGACACCTTGCACAGCCTCTATTAAATGTACCTCCACATGGGAGGCCTTCTCTTCTTGTAGAAGGGAATGGGGGTGGAATGGGAGGAGGAGGCTGGAGGGGCAGAAGGAAGAGAAAGAGGAGGGGAAAGGGGGATCTTTGATATGTAAAATAAATTAAAAAAGTTCTTAATTAAAAAAATGAAAAGAAAAAATTGTACTTGTATTTCATTCATTTTTAAAGAGGAGATACATACATATTTTATTCCTTCCAACAACCAAAATCACTAATTTAGGAGGACCCTTGTTCCAAAATTAGGATGTGCCACAGTGTACTAGGCTGCTTTTGAGAAAATGATTAATAGGATAGATTTGGAAACAGTATACAACAGCAAATCATTTAAATGTGTGACTAAATGCATCTGCAATTTTAACTTGAATTTGTTGTTGCATTTAATGTGTATTCCTAATTCACTACTAGGATAAGTTAAAATTTTTGCAGCTTTAATCCAGCATGAAGGTTCTATTTACACAGAGTAACTCTGAAAAATCGATTGTTCAACAGGATCTTGGTCACTCTTCCTATACTAATACACTCACACTGAATTTATTATCCAGTGCCTGAAAAATAGCTTATGCATTGGTTTGTATATTGGCTAGCTTGTGTCAACTTGACCTAAGCTAGAGTCAATTGGAAAGAGGAAACCTCAACAGAGAAAATGTCCCACTCAGTTGACCACCTTGTTGTACATTTTCTTAATTACTGATTGATGTGAGAGGGTGTAGACTACTGTGAGAAGTGCCATCCCTGGGCTGGTGATCCTGGGTTCTATAGGAAAGCAGGCTGAGAAAGTCATAAAGAGCAAGCTAATATTGTTTTTCTTGTTTTTAAAAACGTTTGTATTCATTAAGAATTTCATGCATGTATACAATGTACATTGATAATATGTATTCCTCAATCCTCTCCCTCCTACTCTCAGACCACTGCACCCTTCATATCTGCCAGTTTCATGTCCTTGTGTTTTGTTTGTATGTTTATAACCCACTGAGTCTGATTAGGGCTTCCCTTGTATTCATGGATGTAGGGCCATTTGCTGGAACATGGTAACCACCATTCACTATATAACTGAAAAAAAACTGACTCCTCCCTCTTTCAACAGCCATCTCAACTGCTCAGCTAGGGGTGTGGCCTCCTGATCCCCTCTTCCCTTCCTGCTCAAATGTTGATTGGCTTGATCTTGTCAAGCCTTGTATAGGCAGCCACAGCTGCTGTCGGTTTGTAGGTATAATATCCCCGTCATGTCTAGAAGACACTATTTTACGGAAATTCTTCCTGGCCTTTGGCTCTTACCAAATTTCTGCTCTTTCTTTTTCAATGTTCCCTGAACTGTTTGGGGGTGGGGATAATACAGATGCCTTATTTAGGGCAGAATACCCTAAAGTCACTTACCCTCTGCACTTTAACAAATTGTGGGTGTTTGTGTTAACTAACCTCTGTCCATTTTAAAAATAAGCTTTTCTGATGAGGGTGAGGGACTAAGAGTTTAAGTACAATTATTGATAAGGCTGTTTGATCCAGTTCTTCTCTGAGTAGATAATTCTGCTGGGAATGTTGTGAATGTGTTGCTCTGATTGATTAATAAATAAAATGCTAATTGGCCCAGTAGCCAGGTAGGAAGTATAGTGTAGGTGGGATAAGGAGAGAGGAGAATTCTGGGAAGTGAAAGGCTGAGTCAGGAGATGCTACCAGCTGCCACCATCATGAGAAGCAAGATGTGAAGGCAGAACTGGGAAGAGGTACCAAGCCATGAGGCTAAACATAAATAAGAATTATGGGTTAATTGAAGCGTAAGAGCTAGCTAGTAAGAAGCCTGAGCCACTAGGCCAAACAGTTTTAATTAATATAAGTGTCTATGTGTTTACTTGGGTCTGAGTGGGACTGGAGAAAACTCTAGCCACATGATTCCCTGAAATAAATTTTTTTTCCTCTAGGTTTTCATTCCTTCAAATCTGTAAACTTACTGTTGCTGTTTTCTTATATATTTCCAACTTAAGCTAAGATTTGTTTTACATTTTTCTTAAAATTACTCTATTTTAAAAGTATTGGCCAGGCGGTGTTGGTGCATGCCTTTAATCCCAGCACTCGGGAGGCAGAAGCAGGTGGATCTCTGTGAGTTCGAGGCCAGCCTGGTCTACAGAGTGAGTTCCAGGAAAGGTGCAAAGCTACACAGAGAAACCCTGTCTCGAAAAACCAAAAAAAAAAAAAAAGAAAAAAAAAGTATTGTTAATGTTGTGCACATTTCACTCAGCTCTACAATTTAGTTTTCGGTTCCTATGCTCAACATAAACATATAGTTTAATTTATTAAAATGAGTTACTTTATTGACTATCTAAATTAGGCCTAGGAATCCATTCATTCATTTATTATTCATTCATTTAAAATACATATTTAGCAAATATTCTGCTCCTTACATACTTTCATATTTGGAGGATACATACAACTATGATTAAAGGAAGGGTACAAGTTAGTTCACATTTCTTTTTAAGTCATTATTGGAAATTTCTCTATATATATCTAAGAGAAAACTATGTACAATCAACACATGAGAATGGTGTGTTTAACCCTTATTTATTTCTTTAATAAAGATGACTATTTATAGGGTAGTGTATTGGTTTTATAGGATCTGTATTTGACTCATGTTTCCAACAGATAACTAAAATATTAGTGAAATTTCCTAAACCCCTTAATTCTGAATCTCTCAGCCAAGCTGAAGTCTTTCAGCTAAGACCTTTCATGTAAGGTTTCTATCCACAGAACCTAAGTTTTACAGTTTCCTCAGTCCCTTTTTCTTTTTTATTTTAAATCAAAATTTTACTCTTTTTTAAGATACAAGCTTTACTGAAGTTGATCCCTGTTACTCTTACACTTTTGCCCCTGTCATATGAAAAGGATCTTTAATTCCACAAATATTGAGAACATACCTGTAAGGACTCAATGCCCCTCATCATTGATCCCTTAATATTATTATTACTATTTTTACTTCTCAAGGAATCTTGTAGCCCTTCATCTAGAGAGACGAACAGTATCTTTAAATACTAAATAACCAGCCACTTTATGGAGAAATACTGCTTTTTCTTGCTATTGGATGACTAGTTGAATCAAATGAGGTGTTGTTAATTGTAACAAAATATCCAATAAAGCATGTGTGTCTGTGTCTGCATGTGTATGTGTGTCTGTGCGTGTGTATACTAGGCAAGTCTTCTACCACTAAATCAACCTCTCTCCATCCCTCATGGTATCCAGTAGAAAGAAATAAAACTCTTGTAAGAAATAAACACATACATAGAAATGAATTTCTGGCATAGGTCATCCGTCCTCCCCATGTTCTCAAACAGTGTACAGTTGGATTTTGGTTCCATGGAGCTATGCAATCTTAAAATATACCAAAGCCAGGCCAGGACTTTCAATCCCCTTGACTGCGGTTAACATAGGGCCTTCTCTCCTGTCTCTATAATACTGTTTTCTGGACTGAGTCAAAGACAGTGTAAATCATACATACAAGAAATACCTGCTGCTGCAGAATGAGCCAATTGAGTGAGCAGAATAGGGGGTGGGAGTGGGGGGTTCTGGGAGAAGGTGCAGCTGGGTGTGAGCCTGTGGCCTCAGGCACAGCCTACAGTCTTCCTCTTCAGTGCCTGGAAAGGATACTTCATCTGAACATTGCCAACCTAGGACTCGAGGCTTCCAATAAAACAGTGAACTTCTAAGAAAAGGCACGAGGGCTCTGCCAGACACCCCAGGAAAGTCACCTGTTCCACACCCTCCTCTAACCCCCTCTTCCTCTACCTTCCTGCACTGCTTAAAACCTCAGAATGATATAACAAGGAAGATAAATTAAGGATTTGAATTGGATGTAATGCATATTTTTAGTTAACTATTTTGCTCAGAGAACACGGTCTGATAATATTTAAAGCCATAAATTCTGTAAAATGTGACATTTGGTAGTAGGGATATGGCCTTGAATTGTTCAAATAATTAGCCCTAACTCTCACCAGCAGTGATACAGACAAAAATTGTCAGTAGATTATCCAAGTGAAGCTGATTTTAGCCCCCATGGAATCAACTGAGGTTCTCAACTGAGGTTAAGTATTTTCTATTCAATTAATTAAATGGTGTTCCAGAAAATTTCTTTTGCATTTCAAACAACTGTTTTTATTCTGAACAAAATATTGTGATGGCTGAAGAAGAAAAGAACATCCAAGACTCCATGGTAAACTTTCCATACAGTCATTTTAACCAACTTTCACTCCTGAACACTAATGAAATCCTAATGACCAAAAGAAATTTTTAGGGAAAACTGAGTTTTTTGTTGATGGCAAATTTTGGGGGATGTTTTGTTTTGTTTTTGAGAAAGAGAAAAAGCTGTCTTGGAATTTACTAGGTACCCCAAGCCAGACTCAAACTCAAAAATTAATCCTCCTGCTCCAGTCCTTCCCCACCCCTCCAACTCCACTCCCCACGCTCAGGTTAAAGTGAACACAAGGACTATCATGGCTTCCTTGCATCTGCTGTCAAAGCCGCTGCAGAGCTGGCTCTCAGGATAAGGATTCTGCCCCAGTCAATACCCAGCCAGCAAGAATTCTGTGATAATTCTCAAAATCAAATTGATGCCTCACTTTATAAAAATTAAAGGGCTAGAAAGAAGGCTCAGCAGGTAAAGACTCTCCTCACCTAACCTTACACAATAAATAAATAAATAAATAAATAAATAAATAAATAAATAAATAAATAAATAAATAAATAAGTGCATTTTGTTAACTGGAACTGATCCTAGAAGAAGATGTTACTAAGTTTAACGGGAGCTTGAATCCCTATAATAATAATCCATGGCCGGGTCTACAGAGACGACTCCAAACAGAACATGAGAAGAATGTTTATTAGTCCTGAATTGTGTGAACGCCCTGTGCAGTATGATTTCCTTATGTTAACTCATTTACTTCTGCCAGATAGCTAACAGCCAGGGACCAAGTAGCTTGAATAGGGGCTCTTCTGCCACACTTGGGAGAGAAGCTGAGCTGAGACACTTAGCAAATTAACAGATTGTCTTCCTGCTCCTGGACCTGTTTCCCTTTCACTTCCTTTTGTTTCTCTCCCTTCAGCATCTTAGCCTTTGGGTCTGAACTGACCACAGGTTCCCTACACTCCCCAGTTCATCAGCGAATATACATACCCTCTGAGCTACTTGTGTTTGAATAAACAGCCCTTCTCTTAGGCCCATGTGGTACCATTAAGAATATATCCACACGAGGTTTTTATTCCTTCGGTTGTGTCCGGGTCTTTTCTGATGCATGAGATATTGGGAGAGTCAGCTGTGTTTTTCTCAGAACAAAATTCCGCCAGATCACCTGGCCTCAGTTTGTAAAGCTGCTTCCTCATTATCAGAAAACTGTGAACCTGTGGAGCTATTACCCATACACCCCCAGCTTGGTGAGTGTGCTGTTTATTTTCAGTAAGAAGCTTAAATTTTTAGCCAAAGTAAAAAAAAAAAAAAAAAAAAGAGAAAGAGAAAGAGAAAATTTCACTGTTTTTTTCAAGTAAAGAAATTGAAAGAAACTTAAGTGAAATTTTGCTAAAGAAAAAAAACTATAAATCATATAATAAAGCCAATCCACTTTGGTGAAAATTACACTTACATTAGTCTTTGACTTAAACATTTACCTACAGCATTTTAATTGTTTGTTCCTGCAGCAGTTCTTAGAGGAGTCAAAATAGAAAACAGGTTTTTGCATTCTAAAGAAGCATCTAAAATCGTAAAAGTAGCTTAAGTAAGCTCTGGTTGGCATTTATCTTCCACTTGATAAAAAAAAAAAAAAAAAAAAAAAAAAAAAAAAAAAAAAACCTCCACAAAAGAAATACATTCTCTAATATAAGGAATAAAAGGGGCACTGAAACCAGAAAACCGGCAATTTAACATTAACAGTGTGGGATTTCTATTAGAAGACTGGATGTAAACAGCTGACCTTAGGCCAGTGACTTCATTTCTCAATGTTTCATATCAGTCTTCATACGTGTAGCATTTAAAGATAGTTTACTTAGATAAATGTTTTGTACCTAACATTTGTATAGAAGATGCCAAAAAAAAAAAAAAAACTAGAATATTGCAAATATTTCCATGGGGATGTAAATAAATGTTGTTCATTTCTTTTCTGCGATATGACAATAAAATTTGTTATTTCTTTCTATTTTAAAAAGGTATTTTTAAGATTCTTGAATTAAATGCTTCTATTTTATTTTGATAAGTGTTCTATAACTTAAGTGATAATTTAAGTCAGATTTTTCTGTAATGAATATGTGCTTAATATTTTTAAGTAATATATGTTTAACTTCCATAAAAATTAGTTGATTAAATATTACTGGTAATAATTTATATGCCTAAGAAACTATTAAATAATTAAAACATTGTTTCAAAAATTACTCAAAAGGTAAATGTGCATCATTTAATAAATGCATGGTGGACTGAAGAAGCTAAATATTAACTCTCAATCACTAATTTGTTCAAAGTTATATGAAAGTCTCTCTGTACTCCCCATCAAGCATAAATGCAAATAATTTTTAAGATCTGACTGGGGTTGGGGATTTAGCTCAGTGGTAGAGCACTTGCCTAGCAAATGCAAGGCCCGGGTTCGGTCCTCAGCTCCAGAAAAAGATAAATAAATAAATAAAATAAAAAATAAAATAAAATCTGACTGTAATAGGCATCATCTGGGATGCAGGCAAATGCTATTATCAGTTAGAAATACTAAAATCATGCTAAACCAGGATGGATGAGTATATCTGTATCCTATATACAAATAAACATTATCTTCTGGAATATAAATCCATCATTGTCTTTTTTTTAAACAGGTTTGAGTGGAAAATCCACATCTCCACTTTCTTTCCTATTGTAATTACTTCCTAGTTCCAGTATATTGGGACAGATATGTAAATGAGACAGAAATGCTGAGCCACAGGAAGGCTGCAAAGCGGCTCCTGAATGGTTTCTATTCTTGTTTACGTTGAATGTGTTAGGTGTATATCTGGGTTTCATCTCAGCAGGGTTGATGACGATTAAATGTCTTTTCACTACTGTTGCTGTGTCACTGAACTACATTACTTTTCAAAAAATAAAATTTTAAGCACACTCTTTTGTGTGCGATTGTAATTTGTATTACTTATATTGAACCAGAAGGCTAGTGACTGTAATATGAAGTTCTTCAACAACTGAATCATAACTCAAAGACTTTTAGGTTCATGGTTCTACTAAACCATTATTTCACCCTGTCTCTGCCTATTTCTGCTTACAGTTTGCCACAGCATTAATCCCAAAGCTTCACCAAAGCCCTTCATGTTCTCTCCAATTTCATAGTCACAAGAAAGGAATCAGACACTAAGAACAGAATCCTGCTAGTGAAATAATCTACATGAGAAAGATATAGACCATTATGCTGATTAAGCCAATTAAGAGTTTATAAGTCCCTTCTCTTTGACTAGTGATAAAAAGAGGGCTAATACCTCTGGGTCTCTTGGAGCTAAAGCCCAGGGACATAGCATTTTTAAAGGACAAAACACAATAACATAAATGTTAAATGAAGGTTAGAGGAGAGTAACCTTGCAACATTTATTTTTGGCAGAACAAAGTAGTTATTTCAGACATTATGTGATAATTATATTTTACTTATACTTTCTTAAACTTGTTTGGTTAACATGTCTGGACCATGGTCATTGTCTTGAAAATCTCAAGTGTGTTGCAAAAGCAGACGTGACTGTTGGTATAGAGGGCTGAGAACTGCCTAAGAAATCATGAAATAGAGTCAGGACAAACTGGTGTTACCTTGGTCACTTCAGCTAGAACATAGTCCCTCCATTTGTGGTGTTCTCAAATAGCAGAATGACAAACGCATGCAGCCAATGGCTGTGTGAGCTGCAGGGGCAACTGAGTAGATCAGTACTTCCAGAGGGATGGGGAAAGGATTGAGAAGCAGATAAAGCAGCAGGGAAGAAAGGTGGTATTCACTTCAGTTTAGGAATCTGTTTTACATATTCAGTTACAAAGGAAGCATTAGATAGGTTTTGTAGGTAGCACTGCAGGATGTCTTTGATGCCAAGATAATGGATGAAGTCTGTATCTTTGACTCTATAAACTACCCCTGTCCTTTACTCCAATAGCATAGTTCAGTCTATCATGTACCCTTAGCCTTAGCTCTCCTTTCCTGTACAGTCTAAAGACTCAACAATTTTCCTGAAAAGGGCGACTCTGATATGTATTTTGAAAAGGTAGACAGTTAGAAGCTACAAGAACTCCTCTTTGTCCTCTTAGAACCTTCCATTCCTTAGCAATCTGATGATGTGACATTCTCTCTGCTACATTCTCTGGTGGCCTCACTTCTCCCAGACTTCATCCTTGATAATTTAAAATATTATCCTCATAGCTGATACAATTCTTCTGCCTTTCTACACCGGCCAATATCTGGCCACTTAAGACTCTGAAATGAATGTTTGCTTCTGTTTCCTCTAAGCATCCGAGTCTCAAAGTAAGTTTATTTTCTAAACTTTGATGGTCGCTAAGGATATCTCGTCAGATTCTTTACCTGACAGAATTAAAGTTAGCAGTTTTCCTAGAGTTACCTTAAGTTTCAAAGATATTTCACTTTCTATATGGCAATATTGAATCCACGGAATAAAAACACAACTCACATTGATAACTTTATTTTAATCTTGGTATAATACGCTGATAACGTGATTTAAATCTGAAAGTAAATTTAGCTCTCCTCTCAAGTTTCTACAGGTATGTGATCTTCAAAGCTAATAACTCTTTTCATGTTTTTTATTTCCTCAGTTTTCTATCCCCTTGAATGAATGTTTCATCAGAAGTAATAATGATTTTATTACTTAAAGTTGGCCAGGCATTACTTTTTAAGGTATCTTACATAGTCTCTGAACTAATCTTACTATTATTAAAAATATTTTATTTGTAGTATAACTACTGGTGTTGTAGCTCAATGATGATAAATTTATATCAGAAATGAAATGTTTCTTGCAAGAGCGCCACTCCACTTGATTCTTGTCATGACATAATTTCTAATAATTCTTACATTTTCTTTGGCTATTTCTCCAAGGTATTTTTTGTGGGTTCCCATTATCTATACAAAGACTGATATTTTCTAGGGCTTTCATCTCAGCTGCATATTTTCTAACTTTACATGTTTTCTATATAATCTGACTCACTTAATCATTTAAATTTATACTGATGATTCACTGATTAAAAAGTAGTTTCCAATTCTCTAAGACCACCTCAAATGTGCTGCCAGCTCTCCAATATGACACAATTATCTCTGGAGTATTGTCCTATATTTTCTGCTTTCACAGAAAATTTTATAACTGTAATATAAAAATTAAGGAATAAGCATCGATTCTTTCAAGTCTCTGTTACTCAAGACATTGTCTAGCACTGAACTTATTTCATATATTTTGGAACCAGTATTTTATTATAACAGGCCAAACTGTAACAAAGCAACCAATCATGTCTCCTGTTGCCATTGTAAGTAAGCTTTCAAAGGGTTTTCAAAGAGTCCAGATTCAAGATGATCTCAGCGACATAGTTGGATTGATATGATTGTTATCCACTTGTTTTTTTTTTTCATTTGGTGACACCACTGGAGGTTTGGAAAATATTAAAAAATTAAAGCACATTACAAAAACCCAGCCATGTATTTCACATTCATAAAAATATATTTAATGATAACTTTTCTGAACATTTAACTTGTAAATTAAACCTTCTGACATTTTCAAAATTTAGCAGTTATTCATGGACTAAAAGAAAGCACATTCCCATGACCACAAAATAACAGGATATGTTCTGATCCATCAGTTTTCTAAAATCCAGTGTTTGTGGAAGATGAGCTCATAACTAACAAAAAAAACTTGACCGATGCTTATGCATTTTCTACATTGTCAAATCTCATGGCAATGGTCTGGGTACTACACATTTTTAATATTCCATTCTGAAATAATAAAAACTAGGTTTAAATATAGCTTTTCAACTTCTTTATTGATAAGTAGTGCTTTGAGATCAGTGAATGTCAAGTACTCCCACATAACTTTTTTCCTAGATTCCTTTTATATACATAATTATAGTTCTCATATAAATCTCCAAGACCTACAGTAGTACAGGATAGCAATAAATGACTAAAGAAAGTAAAGATGGAGGGACAGATGAGAAGAGAGGATGAAAAGGAAAGTAGGAAGAAGGAAATAAAAAGAAAAAGAATATGACAAAAAATGAAAGGGAAAGAACCAGAAATATGAAATTGAAAAAATCATTAAGTGGTTGCTAAATGTTATGGGAAAGGAAAGGATATGAGTACATAGGAGCCACTCAAGGGAAGTCCTAGGGTGATGGAATTTTCATGTATAGTAGTGGGTCTGTGAGTAAGTAGTAGTCAAAATAGAATGTTAAGTCATTAGCAGTGATTATTACTAATTGCAAGCAGAAAAAAAAGTCAATAAAACAAGATGACATGGAAATCTAAGATAAAATAAATCTAACAGAATAAAAAATACATGGCATGACCTCCCTGAAATAAGGGGGGAGAATTACTAACTAAAGGTTATCTTCAGAGTTAAGACCAAAAAAAAAAATCCTACTTACCATCAGTCAGTCTTTTTAAACTGAAAATGATTAAACACTGTGGGCTTTTGTCATTCCATTTGATTACCCCAGAACTAGGTGATAAGACCTATTGTTGCTGATACCACACACCTCAGGAGCACAAGATGGAGGAAGTAAGCTAGAAATGAACTGGAAGCTTCTTCCCTCCAGGGCAGTTCTCATAGTTCCAGAAAATTCTGTTCCAGCTGCAGGGAAGAAAGACCATCGATGGCCTGTGTATTCAGTGTGCCCACTGTGCTATGTGGTACTACTAATGAGGAGAACCTCACCCCTCAGACAGAATGTGTGCCCAATATTGAATGCTAGTTAAAAATCCATTATAGGGAGATCATAGGCTCTGCCAGGCATGAGGGTAGGGCTTTATTCTGTTGTTTATTTGACATGGTGTCCAACTGCCTTCTAAAACATATGCTTATGGTCATTAAACAATTGCCACTGTAGACCTTAATCAAAGAAATCCCTTTCCTGTGAACAAAGGTATATGCAAAGATTTATGGCTGAACAAGATGCAGAGAATGGGGGACACATGACTCTTCAGCCATAAACAACTACCCTCTGTAAGGCTCAGGGGACATTGCAGAAGAGGCGCCATAAAGAATGCAAGAGTCAGAAAAGAAGAAGGGCTGTAAAATAAGATCTGGGTAAGATGCAACCGTTCAGATCTGAAGCTCACAACAAACAGCTGTGGGTATATGCACTGGGTCTGCATAAGGACGGACCAGTCAACAGCCAGGCAAGGAGAGAGGAATAAAGAAATCAGGATGCCCTACTCCTTGTGGCTGAAGAAGAAAGAAATCAGGATGCCCTACTTCTTGTGGCTGAACTATTGCCTACTGATACATTCTGGTAGTATGGAACTCATTTTAGCCGCATACACACTCCACTAATGACCCCATAAGGCTTCTTTAGATAGCAAATTTTCACACAGATGACCCTAGTTATTAATTAAGCATTCAATTATGGGTCACAAAAGGAAACCAAAAGTCAAAAGTCATGAATCTTAGCAAAGGGCTGGTAGGGATAAAAGGATGTGGACTGGATGGAAAGGAGATAAGAGAGTGAAATACAGGGGATTAATCAGAAATAGATAGATAGATAGATAGATAGATAGATAGATAGATAGATAGATAGATAGATAGATAGATAGATAGATAGAAGATAGAGATACAGCATTACATATACGATATATAAAATATATAAT